TTGAGGTGTTATTTTAAAGTTGTTCAGAAGGGAATTTGGCAGAGCTCAGAAGAGTCCCTTCTTTTACTCTGCCATCTTGGCTCTGCCCTCCCAAAATCCTTTTTTAAAAGGCCCCAGAGCCCAGGTTAAGAACCCCTTGTTAGATGGACAGCCTATAGGGCTTTTGTCTGAATATATACATTTGTGGCAGACAATACAAATGGCGAAGGAGAGCCTTGCATTCTCTGGAGGAAAAGAGCCACCTGGAGCACCTTCAGAAAACTGCAAAGCTTCCCTAAACAAAGGCCCATTTTTAAATACCGATAGCCTACTGGGGGGAGGGGCTATCTCTGAAGAATGAAAAATGAACTCACACAGAAGGGCAACTGGTAAGTGTGGATGGGCTGTTAACAAATAGCAGACTTAGAAGAACTAGAGTAAAGGATGCCATCAGGGAAATGTGTGAAATGAAAAAGGAGGTGGCTAGTCATGTGGTAAGAAATGAGGGACAAGAAGACAAGTTGAAGGCTCTGTCGACACCCCACAGAAGGCCCCCAGCATGTCAGGGAACCTTCTGTGGCTAACTAATGGGAACATTTGCATTCGGGTCCCACAGACCGGGCAGGCATGGATGATTGTGAAGGCAGCTACAGAGTGCAATGGATAGAATGTTGGAGGTGGAGTCAGGAAGACCTGACTTCAAATCCTGCCTCAGAGACCAACTGTGTGACCCTCTGTTTCCTCATCTGTAAAATGGGAATGATAATAGCACCTACCTTCTGAGTCCTAACTCTTCCAGAAGACTATCTGCTAAGGGGTGGTAGTAGGGAGGGGCTGATACCTGGGAGAGCAGCCAGGTCCCTCTTGAATGGAGGTGAGACTTCACTGCTCCACCTTCCAATAAGAGGGGCAGAGGGGCGGGACGAGGTGGGGGACCCAGAGCTGATGGGCTCTTACAGGATGAGGCGCTTCCAAGTCCCAGACTAGGATAGCCAGGTGGGCAGTGCGGAATTAAGCGGCTTGCCTGTGGTCACAAAGGCAGGACTTGAACCCAGGTCTTCCCAACTGCAAGATGTCTTCCACCCACTGCACCATGCTCGCCCTCCCAAACTACATTTCAAACACACAAGAGTATTCACAAATACTTTACCTGCATTGTTTCATGAGATACCCAAAGCCCGCCGGGCTTTATTAGCTGAGTTCTGTCCCCATTTCACTGATGAGGAAACTAACTGACCATACAAAATCACAGAGCCAGGCCTGAAAACCAGGAGTTCTTCCAGGCTCTCAGTCTTCTGCGCTTTCTTCCATTTGACCAAATTATCTTTAGGGGCTTTGCTTTCTCTCCCCTCAGTCTAGGGGGAGGAGACCCTTAAGCACTTCTCCCCACCTGTGTCCAGGCCGGCGCACTTCGTCCACAGCAGGGATTCAGTCAGTACATCACAACTAACCGCATCAGTGCCGGGACAAACCTTTTAAGAACAAGTTGTTTCGGTGTCTTCTTCCACAGCCTTTTGTCATCCACGACATGGAGACCCTGTGCATGGCAGAGAAGACACTTGTGGCCAAGCTGGTGGCCAATGGGATCCAGAACAAGGAGGCTGAGGTGCGGATATTCCACTGCTGCCAATGTACCTCGGTAGAGACTGTCACGGAGCTGACAGAGTTCGCTAAATCGATCCCTGGCTTCTCGAATCTAAACCTGAATGATCAGGTGACTTTGTTAAAGTATGGGGTCTATGAAGCAATATTTGCAATGTTGTCATCAGTAATGAACAAAGATGGCATGTTGGTGGCCTACGGAAACGGTTTCATAACCCGCGAGTTTCTGAAAAGTTTAAGAAAACCATTTTGTGACATCATGGAACCTAAATTTGATTTTGCAATGAAATTCAATGCCTTGGAACTGGATGATAGCGACATTTCCCTTTTTGTGGCTGCTATAATCTGCTGTGGAGGTGAGTCGTTTTAAAAGTTAGTCTGTGATGGGCTTCAAATCTGGCGAATGGTACAATGGAAAATAGACCATTCCGTTCTTTTTTAACCCTTCCTTGGGAAATTGAAAAACCTGCACTGACTAAGCAGCGATAGACATTTCAATAAACACAATTAAAAAGTGAGATCACACACAGACGTGACGGCTCACAAGGGTTTGGGTCTTTTCACATGGAACATGAACAAAAACCTGTTTTTGAGCCTGTTTGCCTCTGATCTCTTCTCATGGGTCTGTTTTGGTGCTATTTGATTCTGTTTAGTCTGTGCCAACAGGGCTAAGGGATTGCCCGGGGTCCTCCTACTAGGAAGCATCTGAGGCCAGATTTGAACTCTGGGAGATGAGTCTTCCTGAATTGCTGTGCACTGTGGTGCCGCCCAGCTGCCCCCAACAACGACCAAAGTCCGCGTTTTAGCCTAACTCTTGAATCTTACAGTCACACTGTAAAAGTCTCTCTATTTTTAGCTCTGTATTTTTCACATGAATTATGATCTCCATGGCACAATGATATTCCCATCTTGCCGTATCACAACTTATTGAACCGTTTCAGACCCTACCACCTCCTCCTGTTGTCTCCCTCTGCTGGAACATAAGCTCCTTGAGGGCAGCCCTGTCTGCTTTGCACCGTGCCTGAGCCTTCCTCTTTTTTTCCCCCATTCATGCATGAGTGCACACAGCCCTTTCCCATCATTTTGCTATCACAAATCAAGTGCTATGAATACTTTGGTGCAGATGGGTATAATGTCCTTGGGTAGGGGTGGGCTATATAGTCCTGGTAATGGGATCATTGGATCAAAGGGAATGATCTGTGGGCTAATTTCATTCCCCCAACTTTGCCAACATGTCTGTTTTTGCTTACTGCCCAGCTAACTGAGCTACTCTCTCTTTCCCAATGTAATGGGTATAATTTGGTTTGGTAAGTTTTTGACTTGCATTTCCTGGTCAGAGCAGTCATCCAGATGGGCCCCAAGGATTTTTCTTGGAGACCACATGTTCCCTTCCTCTTCTCATCTTCTTTCCTTGCAGAGTGGGGCTTTAGCATTCTAACAGAATGGTTTGAGACAGAGATTTCTCCCCCATATTTCTCTCCTCTCCTTAGATGTTACTTTCTGCTGCTAACCGTAGTTAAAAGCTGATGTGCCTTCTCGGTGTTCAGTGGGAAGCTCTAATTCTGCAGAAGATAAATGTGGGCCTCCCTGCCCTGCAGGGAAGTTGGCTCTCCTGTCACCAAATGCTTGGCTTGCTCATCCACCTTAAAATAGAGCAACAGAGGCTGTCCCCAAAGGAACCCTGTAGAGAGGAACAGAAGAGGTCATTTCTGCCCTCACGGTCGGGCTGACCTTTCCTAGCCCCTCATGAGATGAAGGAGCTGAAGATCCATCCCATCACTCTTCCTTAGGGGAGTCTCAGGTGGTAATGAATTCTCTCCTCCCTTGCCCCAGTTATTAGGACTGGTCCGGACCTCTGGAGGGAAGCTGAGGCAGCCACACAGCTGGGACCACCCCATGCTTGGGATGCTCACCGACCTCACTTTTGCCTCCTAGAATTCCTCCTTTCCTTCAAAGCTGTTCAGGCAAGCCCTTCTTCATGAGGCCCTTCCTGCTCCCCCCAAATCCACGGGGTATTTATTTTGTAAGCACATCCTCTGTGTGCATTTATGTTTGCAGTGTCTTAGAGTGTAAGCCCCTTGAGGGCAGGGACTGTTTTATTTTTATCTTGGCGTCTTCAACACTAAGCACTGCTTTTAAGTGCTGAGGGGGACTGAATGACTATTTCCATGGCCATGGACTACAAAATATCCAATTAGTGATGTACCTTTTTAAAAGGCAACATCTCACTTTCGTATACATATCATAAATAATGATCTTGCCACAGTCCCGTGAAATGGGCCGTGCAAAGACCCACATTAAGGTTCAGTGGTTAAGAGATTTCCTAAGTGCCACAACTGTGCCAGTCTCCTGATGCCAAATCAAGTTTCTTTTTGTCGTGCTCTGTACAGACACATTCCCCAGCCTCCACTTAGCTTAGCTTTGCTCTAGGGTACTAGGAAGACTGCCAGATCTAGACCCGATCACAGAGCTGGGTGTGAATCCTGTGTGTGATCCAGCACAGAGTGGCAGCTCCCAGAGCTTCACTCACTTCTGCACGTTCCAGCTCCCAGCGCTTTTCTCAGCCCGTGATGATTGATTTTGTTCTTCACTCTCATCTCTTTCTCCTTTTTGAAAAAATTACTTTTCAATTTTATCAGATCAGTGGCTCCATAGATCAAGTTTTTAGTGCAGCAAAATGCATATTCTTCAGAGGAGAGGCTCTGCACAAACCTAATTATGAACTGGTCCCACTTTGAAGATGTGAATCTCTAAGATTTTGATTCAGAAGGTTTGTTTTTTTTAATTCCACAAAAGGTTCCTGCCCTCACTGCCCTTCCCTGCATGAAGCCCAGGCGGGCCTGGGGCTGCTCACTTGCTGACTCACTCACTGGCTCTAAAGATGCCCTCTTTTTCCTTCTGAGACTAGATCGGCCCGGCCTCTTGAACGTGGGACACATTGAGAGAATGCAGGAGAGCATCGTGCACGTGCTCCAGCTTCACCTGCAAAACAACCACCCTGATGATGTCTTCCTTTTCCCCAAGTTGCTCCAGAAGATGGCGGACCTTCGGCAGCTGGTCACGGAGCACGCTCAGCTGGTGCAAGTCATCAAAAAGACTGAATCTGATGCTGCCCTGCATCCTTTGCTGCAAGAAATCTACAGGGATATGTATTGAGTTTTTTAGGTTTTTTTTTTTAAGACAGAACTTTTTCCAGAATATTTAAAGCCAACAGAAATATTAATGATAGATGGGAGCAAAAAGACTTTGCACAAATGTCAGCTGTGTTTTAATCCTAGAACATGGAAATCAATCATGATCTAGACAGCTGGAATACCACATTTCTATTGGTTTTTGAAACAGTATTTCAGAGAGTTTGCCAAGTATCCAAAAGCTGATGATGAGAGGGTCTTGGATAGTTAGGGTGGGATTGGGAGATTCCATCTGATTCTATTAAGGCACATGATTTTGATCAATGCCGACTTATTTATATTATATGATTTAGTATTTGGTTAATTGGTAACCTCATAGTAAGGACTTTGCTCTGCTTATCACCTTTGGGTTCTCATCCTCATTCTATGCTAGTCTGGATAACAATGGAGCCTTCCTGATAAGGCCCTCAAGTCATCTTGGGGGGGGAGGGAATCAAAGGGAAAGGCAGGGCTGGGGTGCTCAATAAGCAGCAAAGGATTCTTAGATTTCACTTCCCAGAATTTCAAGGAGGGTGATGGCACTTTTCTAACTAAGATCTTTCCCAAAGGCTTTTTTTTTTTAATTAGACAGCCAGAAATCCAGGGGTTGCACTAGATACCCACAATCGCAGTTGTTGAGATGGTGCCAAGACAGCTGGTCTCCACTTTATGCAGTAAACTCCAGGTTGGTGCTGGTTTGCAGAAGGACTTCAGTGCTTAACATCCCAAATTCTGAACCAGCTTCTTGGGTCAGCAGGAACTAGGAGTGGCATCTGAATCTTAGAATCTGACTATCAGGGCCAGAAAGGACCTAGTTATCTCATCGGGTCTTTTTCCTCTTCCAGCTGACAAATGGAAACTGCTTGAGGGGAGGGGCTCTTCCAGCTCTGCCCACCTGCCTCTCCCTCCAGGGCCATTCAGTCTTTCTCACCGGATTCGGCCAAACGCCACACTCTTCTCTTGTTCCTCACTCTCTTCCCACCTGGACTTGCTACCTGGCTGACTTGCCTCCTTTCCCTGTCACACCTCTCCTCAATAACGCCTATTTAGGGTGTGTTGGTTTTGCCAGTTCTTGTGACCCAGCCCTTCTCCTGCCCCTCTTGGATCTTTCTCCCACCTCAGGATCCATCAGTACAAATTGCTTCCTCCCCCAGAGATGAACCAGCATGATTTGGACCCTATTGACCATGGCACATGCCTAGGGATTCATTCTTAACATCCTATCCGCCTTTTCCCTTCTTTTCCCTTGTCTGCATTTTGTCAGGTTGGTTTCTTTGGTCCTTTTTTCTGTGACTTTTTAGCCTTTTTTGATAACAGAAACTCCCTAGTGGAAAAAATGAAGACAGTTGGATTCAGGATGTTGGATGGCCTGGCCAACTTACCTTCGCTAACGGAAATGACCTGGGGAAACGTGGAGATTCCCTATTCTTCAGAATAGATGGCAGCTTCTGCTTAACTCTCAGGGTTTAACAACATCTTGGTTTTTTTGGCAATACCTAGTGAGCCCAGTCTCCTTTTATTTGCCATGTCAAACTATTCCCAGGGTCGCTGTTTCCAACAGCCACAGAAATCTTGATCACAAGAACTGAAGATCACCTTCTACATTTCTGTCCACTTTTCTACATTTGGGGTTATCAATCTAAAAAATGTTGAATTGAGAATGCCTTCTCCTTACGTGCTAGTTATAATAGAGAAACAGCCTCCAGAGCATCCTGTCAGCACTAGCCCCTGCCACCAGAAAACTGCATCCTCATCTCGCTCCTGCTAATTCAGACTCCCAGGGAAAAAGCACTTTCTTTCCCAACCAGGAGCACTGGACCCCACTGAGGTCTTGATGTTCTATGGCCAGTGAGCCGGCTGGACCCTTTGCCCCTCAGTCCAGTCTCACCAGTCACATTAGATTCAGAATGTCAGCACCAGCAGAGCTGGCGCCATCACCAACTCCTCCCTCATTTCTTGATGAGGATGAGGTCATGGCATGTCCTGTCTTGAGATTGTCAGGAATTCTGCTGAGGAAGAACCTTAATAATATGTTATAGAGATGAGAAATAAAATGGAAAGGAATTTCCAGCTTAGCTGGCATTCAGCCTAAGTTCATAGATCCAGGGCTATAAGAGACCTCAGAGGCCTCCTAATCTAACCCCCTCATTCTACAGAGGAGGAAACTGAGACCAGGGAGGCTGAGAGACTTCCTGAGGCCACCCAGGTGATAAGTGTCAGAGGTGGGATTCACAGCCAAGTCCTCTGGCCCCAGAACCAGCAAATCCCCTTTCCAGGATGCTGGGGCTGCTGATATCATTTTGTGGGTGTGGCTCACTCTCTAAATACAGGCAGGACAGCAGTTTGTATCTAGCAACACTGCCTGAGCAGAGGCCCCCATTTTGACTCGGGAAGGCAGAAGGCAGGAGCCTTATTTTATTTCAGTTTGTCCAGGCTGACAGCACAGACAACCTGAGCTGTCTCAGATGACTGACTCCTGTGAAAGGGCAGGTGTAAACTCTAGGTGATGAGGCTAGACACCTGAAGGGTGATTCTGCTGGGCTCTGGTTGGGTCCCAGCAGTGCTGACCATCATATCCTTAGTGCGTGGAGGTTTGCAGCATCTCATCACCCATCAATGACCATAAAACATTTGCTCCAAGTCTCTATAAATTTAAGTCCTGTGGCCATGTAAGGCAAAGATTCTGCCAGGCTCTTTTCTATGTGGGATTATGGTCTCAAGGAGAGCTCAGAGAGCATGGCACAGCCCACTCCAAACAGGGATAAGCAAACTCCCCAGGGAGGGGAATGGACCTGCCTGAATCACATGGCCAGTCCTCCCCACTGCCATCCCAGAGATCTCCATGTCCTTGTTAGAATAGAAAATCTGGATAACCGAAGGGCTGCTCATTGAATTTTCCTCTACAATCTTGGACTAAGCAAGTTCAAATCCCAGAGAAAATTATCAACACGCACATTCCTCTGGTGGTCCCTGCACAGAAATGGGTCTTGCGACTTCTGTCTATGCTGCCAGCTTCCCCAGTCTGGGGCAGGTCACCACTGGCCACTGTTTCAATCCATCTTTCAGCTGAGTGAACAGTGGGACAACACCCCTGTATCCAGGGGTCTGAGACCAAGCAAGGCCCCCTCCCCACAGGACTCAAGGGAAGCCACTCCCCTCCAGTGCTCCTACTTTTGAAATCCACGCACTGGAGCAGGGACCACCTTCTCTGCAAGACTGCAGGCTTGCTCTCATTCTGGGCCTGATGGTGAAGAGGTCTGAGAAGGACATGCAGTCACACCATTGGGCATTAGGTGTCTATTCAGAATGGAGAATGAGACCAAAGCCAGATTCTTACATCCTGTCTCCATCAGAGTTGGGCTTATATATGACAGAGTCATAAAACAAACATTGGCTTATTGTCCCTGTTCTGTTCAATGTTCCCCAGACCTTTATTACAAACCCCTGTGGGGCAAAATTAACATCTGTTTGACCTGACAAAGAGTAGAGGGAGGTGACTGACAGATTCTGAGCACCAAGGAACATGCCCCTCACATTCCCGATTTGAAGGAAGGCTTCATTTTTTTTTTAAGGGACAGAGTCCCAGGCCCTAAAAAAGAGTAACTGAGGGTTGTTTCCATTGGGCCAAATCTCTTCCTCTGAAAGTTAGAATTTGATAAGTATATGGTAACCTTAGAAGAGAGAACCTTAGAACCTCATCGCTGGGACCACCATGACTAATGTCCTCGAGCTGATATGGAGCAGAGGGGAGGAGACTTGCCTGGAGCGCAGGCCTTGGCCTCCAGGGATCCTTCAACTCTCCCTCATGGGCTCTGTCCCGGGTCCACAAGCACCAAGCACAACCCAGCCTTTTCATGATTTCATCATGAGATCTGACACTCTTGTGCAGTCCAACAGTGCCTCGGGAGATGCTTACAACTAGGCAGTGCTAACAACTACTGTATTCCAGACACTGAAACTTATTTTTTTTTAACAGGGCTGAGAGATGTGGGTAGGGAGCCCTCGGTATGAATGAAAAGGCTAAAACAGCCCCTCCTCCACAGGCCTGTGTGCTCCTTGCTGCTCTGGGGCAGGGCACTCTGTCCTCTGAGGCACTAACACTCTTCCCCTCCCCGAATCCATGAATCTCCCACCAGGCAGAACCCTGGGCCTGTCTGTCACCAGGGAGATGCCCCTGGAGAGTGGGCAAGCTAAAGCTGATCAAGCCAAGGCCCCAAAATAAGCCCAAGGAAAAGGGTGAATGGCTAGTAGTCAGGAAAGCATCAGAGAAACAGGAGCAGTGGCAGGTCTGGGCCAGGCCTTGCCATCGGTGATGGGCCCTCAGACAGGGCTGGGAATGCAAAAGCTGCCCCTGCAGGCCCACATGTCTTCATTTTGGAACCCAAGCAGCAGGGCCTGGAACTGTCCAGCCAAAAGCAGACGCCGTGCCTGAGGGTCCCCAAAGGCAGATCTTCCTACTTTCTGTTTCCATCTGGTACTTTCAGATTTACCTTTGACGCTGCTGCTCTCCATGGGCAGGGCAGCCTCTGCTCCTTTGACGGCTGACTCCTCCAGCTAACCTGGAGCTGAGGCTTACTCATTACTTCGCTTTTTTTTTTCCCTTATTTTGCAAAGCACTTTTCTTATACAATCATATGAGGGAGGCAGATGGACTAATCTCCACTTTATAGGGATGGAAGCTAAGCCTGAGAGAGGCTGGCTGACCTGTGTGGGGTCACCCCAAGGCCTCTCAAGTCTCCTTCCCTGTCAACTCCCAACGGGTCCTTGGCCCCAAGGAGGGAAAAAGCAAACTGGTCACTGTCAGCAGGGACCGCTGAACACTCAATGGTCCTGTTAACTGTCTGTCAGCAGCAGGATGGTCTTTGGCTCCACTGTCCCAAGGCCCCCTGGATAGGGGCATCAGCTCCCTATGAACATGCACTGCTCCCTTGGGAAGCCTCCACACTGACACGGTACAGTACCAAGAGCCCACCTCAGCTGCAGGTCAGGGTCTGCCATTTACTGTAAGCTAGGTCATTTCTTTCTGAGCCTCAGTTTCTTCCTTTGTAAAATGGGGATGATGATACCGGGGTTGCCTGCCTTCCAGAAGGTCTGCAAGGGAAAGCCTTCGTTAAGGACAGAGAGCCAGCTCTAAAGAGGAGGGTCATGTTGCCTCTCCACCAATCCAGATACAGATGACGGCAGGAACAAGGAGAAGGAGCTCAGCACCATCAGTTACTGGGCGAGCAAGAGGGCTCTGTTGTCTGGCAGCCACACCACAAGCCTCCACTCAAAGGATCCATGCCCACCAAACAGCCTGGGTGATAAAGAGCAATGACCAAGGAGCATGCTCTCCTTGTCCACGTGCCCCAGCCACGTGCTGCAGCCTCGACAGAAAGGCACAGAGGAACAGAAAGGAAGCTAGGTTCTGCCCTGGGTCGTCCTCTCTCAGCTGGCTGGAGGAGCTCTCCCTTTCGGCTCTAAAGACTTCATCCTACCAAAAACACTCCTGCAGCATGAAGAATTAATCCTTTCATTTGACGAAATTTCCAGTGAGTACCTTTTCACAAACTGAATGGTAGGTTTTTATGGAGCCATTCATCCCACAAAGCTTTGGGGCTGTCTTCTGATGCACCCAGAAAGGAAAGAATCCCCCTTGTAAAACATGTAATACAGGTCTGGTCTTGATCGGATGATGCCGACAAAGCATGTCAGAAGATCAACGTGTGAGACGCCACCTGCTAACCATTTCCTAGCAGACTGGTGCCTCTGGCCACCAGGGCAGGCAAGGGTAGCCTGGAAACTCCCAGGAATTCTGGAAACTTTAGAACCATAGTGGCTTGCTCAGAGCTTTGGGTTTGCTGGGATGTCGTCAAAAACAATATTGGAATGTCTAGACCTCACTAGTGGGAAACAACAAGGGAGCGGTAGATGGGCAGCAAAAGGCTGGGATTCCAGCCCTGCTCCATCCTCTGGGTGCCCAGTGGGTCTCAGTCTTCCCCACTTGTTAACTGGGCAATAACGTTTATGCTGCTCAGCTCACAGGACACCGTGAGCAAAGACTGTTATACATCAAGTGCCAGGGAAACATGCTCTCCATCCTTAAAGTTGGGAGAGGTCTTGGACCAGGGATGCCTTGTAATGTCAGTTCAAAAATGTATGAGGAATGAAGTTTAGCATTTTTTTAAAAAAATGTGTGGGGGACGGGGAGTCTATGGAAAATATGCTACTCAGGTTGTTTCAGAAGGAATCACGCTGGAAGCAACATTAAAGATCAGCTAGTCCAAGCTCACTATTTTACAGGTCAGGAAACTGAGGCCGTGGAGGCTGTGTGCCCACGGTTACATAGGTGGCGACAACAGAGAATCAAAGGAGCAGGCCTACTGACTCCATTCTGCTCTTCTTCCTGCCCTATGCTGCCTTCACCATTCCAAGGAGATCTTTTGAGAAGCTTGGCATCTCTCAGCACTCAGCAACACTTGGACATGAATGTGTTTCAAAGGGTCTTGTGCAGGGAAGTCAGTGCTTTGGGGGCATCTCAGGTCACTTCTTGGAAGGCCTACTGAGACTAGGAACATTACTGAGTGCCTTCAAAGCCCATGGTTAACCATCCCCTAACCTTAGCAGTTACATTCACAGGTTCATAGCTGCCTGAAAGAGGAAGACTATGTTTGTCCCACTATGTGGAATGAAACCCAACCACCCCCAAAAAGATGCACCTCATGAGCACTGCTTCAGACATGTCGCTTTTTGATGCCCTAGCTGGGGCTCCTGTGAAAGGGTGAAGGCAGAGCCGCCCTACTCCCCATCCCCTCTGTGCCTTGAAAGACTAGGCGGTCCTACACCTAGAGGGCCAAGAGATGCAGGGAACGCCAAACCTCGGCGGCCCTCTGAAAAGACCTGGGGTCTCCAAGCCCTAGACCCCACTGCTCAGGTGAGAGCTGTCCCTCTGCCTTACCTACACAAGCCAGCTGCTAGAGGGCTTGAGTCCAGGTCTGAAGCGCTCAGGGCAAGCTTCCACTGATCATTTCAAGTCATTCCTCTTTTAAAAATGGCAGCAGTGCCCAGCGCAGGGGAAATGGTGAGTGCTTTGGAGTGTCTGCATGAATGTATGCATTATGACTGAATGGATGAACAAAGGAAGGCTTCACTTGGGCAACTGTCTCCTCTTCTGCCCTCCAGGCTGATGCTGGGAGCCATTTCTCAGGCTCTTTCCATGTCCTTGTGATGGAAAATCCATTGTGGTGACAGCTGGAGGGGCACTCCATTTCTAGAGTAATATTTGGGTCACTTGACAAACCCCATAATCAACCAAAGTAACATTTGTGATATACATGATAGGCTTTTAAATCTGTGTCTTCTGTGAATTCTTAAGGATGTCAATAAGGTGCATGGTTTTCTGGCAACTTAGAAATACAAAGTGGATAGAACAAAACAAAGCTCTGGTCATTTCGATTTAAAAGCCATTTCATTTCTTTTTTAATTAAATCGTTTTTTTTCAATTAACAGGCATTTATTTTCTCTCATCATCTCCCTTTCTCCTCCATAGCGGAAAAAAAAAGGCAAAACAAATCCCTTGTAACAAATATGCAGTCAAGCGAAACATATCCCCACATTGGGCAGGTCCACAAATGTCTGTCTCATTGTGCATACAGATTCCATCCCCAATTTGTCAGGACGTAGGCAGCATGTTTCAATCTTGGTCCTTCAGAATCGCGGCTGGCCATTGCAGTGACTCAAGATCCTAAGTCTTTCGAAGTTGTTTATCTTTACAGTGTTCTTACTGTACACAGCATTCTCCCGGTTCTGTTCACTTCCCCCTAAGTCAGTTCAGAAGTGTCTTCCCAGGTTTCTCTGAAGCCATCTTTTTCATTTCTTGACACACAAGAGTAGTCTATTACATTCATACGCCATAATTTGTTCAGGTACTCCCCAACTGATGGCTTCTAACTCTTCTTTCTTTGATCTCTCTGAGGTATAAGCCAAGTAAGGGTGTTACTGCTGGGCCAAACAGTATGCATGTATGGTGACTTCTTAGGCACTGTTTTAAATTGCTTTCCAGAATGGCTGGACCATTCTCTACCAATAAGGCATCATTGGACCTGTTTCCCACAGCCTCTCCAAAGTTTGCCATTTTGCTCTTTTGTCAACTTTGCCAATCTTATGGATGTGAGGAAGAACCTTTAAGGTGCATTTCTCCATTAGTGATCTGAAGCAGTTCTTCACATGGCTATTGAAAGCTCCTGTTTCTTCCCTTGAGAACTGCCTGTTCATATCCATTTAGCCATCTGTCAATTGGGAATTTCCTCTTACATTCTTCTAAATTTGAGTCATCTCCTTATACAGCTTGGAAATAAGACCTTCATTAGGGAAAATTTCATTTCTACTTAAGTTACCCAGAACTTATTTTCATCTTAGTCTCTCATATTAACTTAAGTGCCTGGCACACAGTAAGCACTTAATCAATGTTTACTGGCTGACTGACCAGGGCAAGACCTGCCCTACCCAATCACCAGTTTGTACAAACAACAACGCCTCATTGCACTAAATGCTGTTTGCCTATCAAAGGTAACCCAAACACATCTAAGTTAGGGCTCTCTCTCACTGCTGCTGTTCACTATCCAGTATTCTCGCCAAAGAAAGCTGTCACTGTGGGGCTGGTTCACTTACATCTCATCAAGAGGGAAAGCCACAGAACCGTGACTGCAGGCACTGCTCGTGCCAGGTTGACAAAGGCAGGGTGTACTCCCCGGTGTCTTGGCCCTTTCTTCTGCTGACTTATAAAAATGTCCATGTTTCTATTTGCTTCCACTAAGCTAGGACCTCCAAGAGGGAGGGTCTCCCTGGACCTGGGCAGAAATTGCCAATTTCCAGAGTGCGGTATTCTATTTTGTCTCTTGGTGTTTGTGTTTATCTCAGAACTTCTTAGGTGCCTTAACTGCCCTGAAAATGTCACCAAGTTTGGGGAAGGCTGTTCATTCATAACACTACTAAACAGGGGGTATTCATGAGGAGCAGCTACTGACGAACCTTCCTGTATAACCCACTAACTCAGGTGAATGTCTCTCATGTTCTTGGACGACAGCAGGACAGGGATGGAATGGGGCTGAAATGAAACACTCGAGGACCTCAGGAAACAGAAAAGCCCTGACTGCCAAGCTGCTGTTTCACACTTGGATAAGGGACGAGGGCAGAGGGAGGGAGGGAGAGATGGCCTTTTTCTATTCCCAGGGATGGAGCACGGGTGCCTCCTGTGGGGCAGGGTATAAGCAAGACTAGAGCCACTTTCAATTTTTTATCATTTGTTATGAGCTTTCATTCACTAAGAAGGGACTGAACTGAGAGTATCCACTAATGATTTATAGCTTGACTTTATAGGAACTTATGTTCTTGGGATGTCATACTGTAAGACTGATGAATGTAAAGAGCTAATTTCAAGGTACAGTTTGCCTTAAAAGGTTTTTAAAAGAATAAACTATTTTTAAAAGTCAATTGGTGGGTTATTGGTGATCTGTTCATTTGATGGGATGAAAGGTTTCCCCTGGATCACAGCAGCTGAGGCTCTTCTTGTACTATAGGCTTTCCTTGTTAACTACCACCTACTGGACAGAGATTGGATTGAAACCTGGTTCTCTTTTCCCTGTAATCCTCAAAGTCATTTAACTCAGGCAGCTTGCATAAGGCACTTGGTATAACAACATGATGTTAGAATTAAGTCTGGTCCCATTAGGCAAAACGTGTCATTCTCTTTCCTTCTAACTTTTAAAAACGGGGCCGTTTTAAAACAGGTCAGATCCAATCCCAGCACAAACCTCTTGGTAAGCCAAAACACATCCAAGCCGCAAAGGCAGGTACCTGCCCCTCCTGAGAGGCCACTGTCAATGGGGCTGGCCCTGGCCGAGAGGAGGAAAAGATGGAATACAGTGACAGGACAGGCTCTGGTACGTTTCTAGTGTGCCCTCCCTACCATGCTGCTGACTTACATTGCCACTGGGCCTGAAAAAGCCCAGTGAATGAGTGAAAAGGGGAATAACACGCAGTAGTACATCATAGAAAATGGTGCCATGGGGACAGCCACCTGGACAGCTTCCACCCAACCACCGCTGAAAGGCAAAGGAGAGTCCCCATCATTGGTGTGGAGGGAAGAGAGTCTGGTTACAGGAGGCATGGGCCTAAGGGTGGTGGAGAAAGCCTGTGCTTGCCTCCCCTGCCAGACGAAGAGGAGGTAGTGGGTCTCTGGCCAAAGGACTGGATCTCTTGCTCTCATCTGCTTCATCCTTCTTCCTTCTCAGCCCTGGTGGACAGATGCCAAAGGCAAAGACTGTCCTGGGCTCCCCTGCTCAGAGGGGCCTCACTCAGTGGCACCATGCAGCACCTTTGGACCCATGATGATGTGAGACTAGGCCAATCTATCTACCTCTGGGGCCCACTGCAATTTTTTTTTTTTTGGTGAGGCAGTCGGGGTTAAGGGTCACACAGCTAGTAAGTGTCAAGTGTCTGAGGCTGGATTTGAACTCAGGTCCTCCTGACTCCAAGGCCAGAGCTCTATCTACTGTGCCACCTAGCTGCCCCTGGGGCCCACTGCAAAGAAGCCTCTGGCCTAGACTTCAGATCAGCTAAAGCCAGAATTCCCCGGATTTCCAGAGTTGGAAATAGTGACCACAGCAATGTGAGAGACATCCCATGCAGGCAGCTTAGCCCCCTGGACACCTCCAGCCCCCTTCAGAAGCCACAATGATGGCCAATGGAAGGTCCCCTCAGGTCATCTGCTCACAGGAACAAGATGGGAGAAGAGGATTACGACAGCCAGGGGCAGCCAGGGCCTCGTTCTTGCCAGAAGCTTACAATCAGGTCCTCGAGTCAAGCTTCCTAGAGCCAGTTTTGGACAGAGCATATCTCTTCTCCACATCTTGCTGGATCTCTTGAGGGAAAGCACTGAGATTCTCACGAACACAGGGGAGGCAAAATCTCTTCGAGTAGAATAAGCTACACTCCTGAAATGGAGAGAAGGGTGAGACTGTCAGCGACCTCTTTAAGTGCTGGCTGTTTTAAAGTCATTAACCCTTCAAGCACTGCAGGCCAGCCCGGCTCCTCTCCCTACACTTCTCATTGACTCCACCAGCGCTACCCACCCCCATCCTTTCACAGAGCAGCACAGCCCCCTCCCCTACTGCCCCACAGATCTATCCCTCTCCCAGGCCCCATCTCCCCTTTCTCTGGGACAGAGGCCAAGACCAGGCAGAAACTGCAGGAGACTCAGGAGAACCAGAAATGGGCTGATGAGCCGAATACGTACTGCTGTTCTGCTATGCTGCTACACCAATCCTGCAAGGCCCTGCCCTCCCCTTTACCCCTGGACAGGCCCAGGCTGAAGAAGCAAAGGCCCGTGACCCACATGGTCCCTGTCTGCAAGTACAATGACATCAGCCTGCCTCAGCTTCCTCCAAAGGGCATGAGAGATCTCCAGCTACAAGGGGCCTTGGTGCCACTGAGCCCAAGACACAGAGGCAGCATTTGAACCCAGGCCCCATGACTCTCTTGCACTGCCACCCTAACTCCCGGCTTCCTAGGATTCAGAGCTGGAAGGTGGCACCTTCGAGGTCACTGACTCCGGGGTGCATCACCCTGCTTGTGTTCTGGAGCCTTTGGTGATCAATGTGGTGAAGCCGAGGGACTCCTCCTCAGCACCATGGTTTTAACAGAGGGGAATGAAAAGATAGAACTTTCCTCGTCCAATGTCACAGACACCTTGAAATCTACCCACAGACCCCCATGGGGCCTCAGGTTAAGAACGTCTGATCAAATCCAACCTCATTCTACAGATGAGGAAACTGAGGCCCAGAAAGGTCAGTGACTTGTCCAAAATCCCACAGATGAGCAGCAGAGCTCAGTCCTCTGGCTCCAAATTCCACACTCCACAATCCTGAAAGTACAAACTGACATACATCCTGAGAGTGACCCGAGTAGTGAAAGGACTGAAAATGTCACAGGAGCAGCAAATGAGGAAACAACACATTTCATCTGAAGGTCAGATGGAGGCCTGGAGCCAAGGTCAAAGGTAGAGCTTCTGAGCACTGGGAAGAATGAAATGGGCTGCCTGGGGAGGGAGTAAGCTCCTCAGCCCCAGTGGGCTCCAAGCGGACACCGGACAACTCCTGGCCACAGGCGAGCCCAGTCAGCCTGCCAGCTGAGGCACCACGGGCCGGCCCCACAGTGGCCCTGCCCAGCTCCCTGGCTAGCAGGTTCGGCCCTTTTCTCTGTTCTCTCACCACTATCCACCCTGCCCCAGAAGGGCAAAGGGAAGCCAGAGGGAAGAAGTCTGCATGCCCTGATTAACAGAGAGGCATCTTCCATGGCCCTGGGACAGCTCCTTGCCCAATCCCAGCTTGCGAAGGTCCAGGTGGGTGTCAGGGGTTTTTTTTCCCCATTAGCTGACACTAAAGGCCTTTTCCCCTGGTGTATCCCTTCCTAAAGCCCCATGGGAGAGAAGAGCTGAGCATCCCTACCAGCACACCTTGCCCAGCCCACCCCAAAGGGCCCCCAGTGATGCCCCAGGTGTTCCCCTTCCTGGCACTCAGCAAGGCTCCACCTGAAAACCTCCTGAAATCTAAAGGGGAACCTGCTCCCTTCCTCCTACAGTCAATCTCTGGGGATCGCACAAATGTGAAGATTGTGACCATGTGCCCCCAGACCCCACCACCTCTGGGCTGTGGCGTCTAGTACTTCCAACCCCTTTTTGTATGGCTTGGTCTGAAGTCCTCTCAAGGCTCTCATGGCATCCTTTGTGTGTGAGGACTGGTCCAGAAAAAGTGAAGGGTGTCTCCTCAAATATGGCACTCAGGACTCCCAGGGTGGTGTGACCACGGCAGCAGGCAGCAGTCCCCTCATGGCCTTTGTCCTGCCCATTAGGTCTTTCTCAGTGGACCTAGGAGAACACTGATTTTCTCCCAGATGGAGCTTGCAGTCCACTCTAACTCTCAGATCTGTTTCTAGAAGCACGCTTAGTTGCACATGTCTTCTCCTTAAACTCCTGCGTAGGCCTACACACAGTCTTGTCCCCTGACAAGGTTCAGAGCCCAGTTCTATCCTGTGGTGATCACTCTGGACCCTGACTGTGAGCGAGTGCGCTCCAGACCTTTGCTGCTGGCTCTGTCTCACAGGCAAATCTGACAGGAACCACCCCCCTCCTGTGCCTTCAGCCAACTCACTGGTGAAGACGTTGACCATCCAGTGTCCAGGGCAGTCCCAGAGGTGCCTCCAGCCTCGGCCATCCTCAGAGGGTCCACAGTTGTCACCCAGTCAGAATCCGGGTACTTGCTGTCTCCAGGTGCCCAGGACACTCCCCTTCCTTCCTCAATGGGCCTGGCTCCCAATTCTTCTGTCATTCCCAACGCCTACTGTGTTCTAGGGGACGTCAGCATCCGTAGTGACACCCAGTCCTCCAGTCCACCTCGGCCACACAAAGACCGTGCTCCCCACAAGTATTCCACATCCATGCTCATTCCCTTTCCAGCCCCAGTCTATTGCCATTCCCCGGCTCCCTCTGCCTCACAAGCCCACACCATGTTTTGTAGCCTCCCCGTGACCTACACCCCCTTCAGCCATCACCCCTGTGCACTGTCCTCCTCTCCCCATTCACGTGGTGAGCCAGCTCAGTTCCACGCTGTCTGCTTCTGCCTCATCCCTCGTCCCCTCATCATATCATCGATTATACCCAGCTAAACCTTGGACCTCTGACATGGTCCCTGCCTTTGCCCTCTGAACATGTTGCTGAAGGAAGGTGGAGGAAATCAGAACAGTGTGCCGCCTGCATCCACTGCAGACCTCGGTTCCACAGCCTCTCCCGGGGCACCCACAGATGGAGGCCATCCTTCCACCCTCTCTCAACCTGTCCCTGCCCACAGGGGCTCTTCCACACCTTCTCATCCCTCCTGAAGCCTCTGGCTCCTCCTCCTCCTTCTCCCTCAGCTGAGAACTTTGCTTCATGTTTTACAGAAAAAGGAGCTTCTTCATCTAACATCACTCCCATCCTTCTGCCACCAGCTCCTCCCAGGAAGAGGTGGCCTTCCTCCTCAGGATTCCCTCTCGCCCTGTCAGCCCCTCCCTAATCTTCAATCTCTCCCTCTCCACCGGCTCCCACAAACATGCCCGTGTCTCCCTCCTCCTCAGGAAGACCACCTATGACTGGCACCCCCATTTTCCTTCCTCTCCCCATTCTCAGCTCTGCACAGTCTAGCTCTCAGCCTCGTTGTCCAACTGAAACGGTCCCAAGTCTCCTAGGAGCTCTCCGTGGCCAAAGTGAATGGCTTTTCCCCGTCCTTGTCACTCTCTGACCCCGCAGGCTACAGCTCGGCCCATCATCCTTTTCTCTGGTTCTCTCACCTGTCTGTCCCTTCTCCAGCTCCTTGGCGGCTGCCGAGCCCGCATCCCAACGCGGGTATTCCCCAGTGCGTGCTCCTGGGCCTGCTTCACTTGGTGACCACATTGGCTCCCAAGGACTGCATGGTCACTGCAACTGTGCTGCTCACCCAGCAGCCCTCCCCACTCTTTGGTCCTCCCGTCTTGCATCTCAAACTGCATATCCAGTGGGCACCTTGGACTCAACAAGGCCCAACCCAACTCCTTCTCTTTTCCCCCAAATCCTGCCCCAGCCTCCCAGTCCTCCAGGCCCACAACCTGGGGGTCATCCTGACCCTTAACTCACTCTCACCCCTCACATCCAATCTACTGCCAAGTCCCCTGGATTTTACCTTCACAACATCCCAAATCCACATAACCCGCTTTTTTAGGGGGGAAAGCAAACAAAACATGCACTTTTCCTGGCCTATGGCACCTCTCCAGTTCTCCATGATTACTACAGTGGCCAGGGGACGAACCCCTCCCATTGGCTCCCTGACTCAGGGGCCTTGACCACAGCCCTGGGCACTGATTGTACCACCCCTCATTGACCCCCTGAATGAGGGGCCTTGCCCATGGCCCCCCGGGCACTGGCTGCACCACCCCTGAGTCACTCACTGCTATAGCTTCACCCGCCCTGTGCAATGGGCCTGTCCTATCTCTGGTCTCCTCTCACACTCTAATCCCTTTCCCAAGCCCTTCTGGTTGCTCTCTGAGTGCTCAGCTCACCCCACCCCTATTCTCTGCTGAATTCTCCTTACCTGGCCTCCCACCTTGATTCAAATGGCTTTCTGGGTAGTTGTGATGCAGTGAGAGGCGGCTCCCCATTTTGCTCACTGCATCTTTTAGGATTACAGGATCCCACCCTCTCTCTCTCATAGTATCTTCTGACCACAGCGTGGGTGGGCACTGAACCACGCCCAGAGGGCCCTTCCTCTTTCTCCCACACTCTAGGATAGGGGGCTCATCCCTACCCCCAGCTTCCCAATCTAATCATTTGGGCAGTTGGCTACATCGTGTCGGGCTAAATCAGGCCCAGAAGGGCCTGTCTCCTCATCACCTCCTTCACCTTGAAGGCCCAGGTCTAACAGCTTATATTTCCTCTGGCTACCTCCTGGCACTAGCTCAAATGCCTGGGAAGACATAAAGAAGTATGTGATGACAGACAGGTTGACTGAGAGCCTACGCTTCTCCCTGGCCCAGCTGAGCTCCTGGGTCAGGCCCCTGGGAGGCAGGCTCCTCAGTCCAATTTAACAAATGGGTGCTAAGTGCCTACTGTGCACAGAGCCCTGGGCTCACCCTGGGGGGAGGCAACACCTAGCCAGGCTCCCCACACGTTCTCACAAAGCACCCACATCTGTAAGGGAGAGGAGACAAAGTCAATAACTAAAGCAGATGACTCCACAGAGGAAGGCCAAAGTGGAGAGGGTCAGGGAAGAGCATTTTAAAAGAAGGGTTGGGTAGGCGACCAGGCCCGGCATGGGGGCAAAGGACAAGGGCATGAAGGAAGGTCAATGAGAAAGACAGGATGGGCTGGCAGTGCCAGCCTGCCAAGGGCTGCGAATGTTGAGCAAAAGATTCAGAATCTCGGTTAGTGGGACAGGGAACCTGTGTGACCTCAGAACGTGGCCACATCTGTACATGAAGAGGATCAGCTTGCCAGGAGTCCAAGAGGTGGACTGGAGCAGAGGAAGAGCAAAGGGGGAAAGAGTCCTGGAGGACCATGCAGGAGCAGCCATAGGGGCTTTGGAAGCCCGTGCCAGAAGAGCGTCCTGGGTTCAAAGCCTCCCTGTCCCCAGTGAGAGGCAGTCGGAGCGCCTGGCTTCCAAACCAGCGACCTGACAAGCCAGCCATCCTCCCCCCTGTAAAAGGAGGAGAGGGCGCAGACTACAGGGGTCCACTAAGGCCCTCTGAAGTCTGAAGGGGAGCAGGGTCTGAGGGATAGCTCCCCTGGGCAGAGGGACAGGCAGGTCAGGGGCTCCCAAAGAGCCATCTGCAGTGGTGGGCATGAGCGTGGGCAGAGGGAGAAGAAGGTGCCTGGGGACACCTAGCATCAGGAGCTGGCATGAGGAGGTGGCACCAAGGAAGGAGGCAGAGAAGGAGCAGCCAGGGATGGGTCAGGTAGGACAGGCCCCCCACAGGTCGAGCCCCCAGATGAGGAGGTTTCTGGCAAATGGGCCCCAAAGACACTTTCCCAGGGGAGCTGGGGCAAAAGCCAAAAGACTGCAAGGAATTAAGGAGATGGCTGGCAAGGTGGGAACATGGAGCCCATGGCTGTCCCTCCCCAGCCCCCAGTCACGCGTGCTCCCTGGGCTGAGGACTCCCCCTCGCCCCCCGCATCCCCAATCACGTGCTGCTCTCCGGGCCGAGGACTCTCCCCCCACCCCAGCGTCCCCAGTCACCCACCACTCACCGGGCCCACGCACACCAGCTTGCTGCAGAGGCTACACTGGGAACCGAGGATCAGGAATCTGTCTTTGTCTGAGCTGAAGGGGTCCTTCAGCACGTAGCATTCCTCCAGGAGCCTGCAAGGGGAGGATCCAGGGCGGTGACCATCTGGCCTGGGGCTCCCAAAGGCCGAGGCTTCCTCTAACAGACCAGTAAGGGCTCATGAAGGCACAGTGCCCAGTGCAGACTTCTCATCCGAGTGGAATGAAGGAGAGCTAGTCCAGCCCCCTCGCTGATGAATGATGAGGAAACCAAGGCCCAGAGCAGCAAAGACACCAGCCCCAAGTCAAGCAGGAAGGGTGCAGAGGAAGGATTCAACCCAGAACCTCCGCCTCCCGTCCCACTGTTGTACCATCCCCCTTCAGGAAGGAGGGGTGCCTTCCTGCCAAAATGCCCAAAGCCCCAGAGCAGGAAGGGAACAGGACCAGGAGGAGGCTCACGTGGACACCATCACAGTCACTCAGTGGTAGAGAGAGCTGCTCAGCCAGCCCCAGGCTCTCCCGGGGCTCACTGCCCTCTCCAAGCTACCTTTTCATACCGCAGCCCTACAAGCCTTCCCCGGCTCCCTGCTCCCCTTGGCTCTGTACCCCCCGCCAAGCACAGTGCCTCAGCCCACGCGCTCAACAGTAAAATGGGGCTAAAACGTTCACCTGCCAAACTCACGAGAGATCCAGGGGAGTGTGCTTTGCAAGACAGAAGCTGCAGTGTGCCCTGTGTGATGCCCCCACCGAGGCTTTCCAAAGCACCCGTCACACGGCAGCTCACTGCACCCTCACCTAGCCCTGAGCATCAGGCTGGGCAGCTACACTTAGCCCCACTTTACAGATGGTTTGCCCAAGGTCACACAGCTAGTAAACGGCAGAACCGGAAGCTAAGGTCAGTGCTGCCTTCTGATGCAGGGGGCTGCCCCCCTCCACTGCAAAGGTGACAGCCCACTGGGGTCCTCGAAGCCACGTAACAGCAGAGAGTGGCCCGGCCATTCACAGGGTGAGGGCTGTCACCTAGCCTGGGGGCTGCACTCAGGCCCCCACTGCTCTTCCCCTTCCCCAGGCACCCCACAAGCACCTGTCATCTCTGCCTAGGCCCTGGGCCCCTGGACCCCAAGGCCCTGCCCCTGTCCCCACCACAGCAGCAGGACCAGCTATGTGTGTCCCTGGCCTGGGCCCTGGGCCCCTGGGCCCCCTGCCCCCACCACAGCAGCAGGACCAGCTGTGCGTGTCCCTGGCCTGGGCCCTGAGCCCCTGGGCCCCCTGCCCCTGCCCCCACCACAGCAGCAGGACCAGCTGTGCATGTCCCTGGCCTGGGCTCCCCTGGCCAATCTCACAAGTGCAGCCCAGCCAGAAGGGAGACAAAAGGGAGGGTTCCCAGTGGGCTGCCTGGAGGAGCTGCAGGAAGAGGAGGCCAAGAGAAACAGACACACGAGGCTTCTGCAATGGCAGGAGAGGCCACAAGCCATAGCAGGAAGTGGTGAGGATGCCGTCACCCCCTGGTGGCAACCAGGGGGCTTAGAGCTCATGTGGCCAACAGAGCCCCCTCTCACAAACGGATCTGGGCTCCCCACAGCCCCCTAACACACTGCACAGCTTGGAAGTAAGTGAACATGGCCTCGCCACAGCTTCACCCCACCTGCTGCCAGGGACTGCATCTATCCCAAGCTTGGGCTTAATCTCCATGGCACCCCCAACCCCTATAAATGAGAACTGAAAAGACCGACAGAGCGGCTGTCCTCTCCACTTAGTAACCAAGCCCAGTGAGGATGAGGCAGTGGGTTAGTTAGGGACCAAACCAACCCTATGGCTGACCTCTGACCAAACCGAAAGGCAGAGGGCTCAGCTTTCCAGGAAAACAGATCATCCCCTAACTGCGGACCTGCCTCAGTTTTCTCCTCTGTGAAATGGGAACAACTGAGGCCTCTATCACCCAGGTTGGCCTGAGGCTCCACTACAATAAAGATGAACTTCAGGGTTTGCAGAGCCCATTGCAGACTCACAGTCCCAAGAAGCAGTGCTACTATCAGGAGACTGAGGCCAAGAAAGGTCTCGGCCAGGGTCCCCCTTGACAGCAGCCACCTTGGGGCACCATCTTGGGGCTACAGGAGGCAATACAGGTAAAGAGCCTTTCGAGTCACCAGGAAATGGCGCATGTCAGGAAACCAAAGGAGAGAGCAGAGGCCTCCACAAGGAGCACTCTTATGCTTCTACCCACATGGTCAGCATCCATAGCCACCTTCCAGAAGGCACTGCATAAGTCTATGCCCCAGCGGATTAAAGAGAGGGAGAAAGGCCCTCCATGCAAACAGTAACTTTGTAGCCCCTCTTTTTAGCAGCAAAGAAACCCGGGGAAAGGGGTGCCCATCCCTCGGGGACTGAACAGGAATGGCACCATTAGACACGAGGAAGAGAAGCCGGGGAAGATGGGGGAGGGAAGCGGCAGAGCAACGGAGACAATGTATACCGTGACACTACCCCCCAGAAATGAACCATTCTGATAGACTTTTACCAGTGCTGGTCATCGCAAGGCCGCACAATGACGGCAGAAGCCTTGGCACAGAGCAGCCGCCCATCTCGGACAGAGCCAGGCCCTAAGGGGTGGGGCCAAGGGGGGAATTTGGTTTGTCCAACTCTGCTTCTGGGCTCCAGACTTCCATATTTTTCCCCCAGTGGGGGAGGGGGACAGTGGGAGGCAGAAAAAAATCAATGCTTGAAAATTGGGTGAATTTTGAAAAAACGGGCAGGACTCACACCGGTGTCCTGGCAGCAAGACCACCGTGGTCCCCACTCCCTCTTAGGGACAGTGGGCACCATTTGCTCTCTGAACTAAAACTCCAGAGGCTTCCTTCCAAAAGGCTGGGCCACAGCTGTTATGGGGCCACGGCAAGGGAAGGCTTTTCTGAGGGACTTGAGCTAAGATGCAGCTGGTCCAAGTGGGGTGAGCGCAACCTTCCACCGACAGCAAAGAGAGTACGTGGCTCTGGGGGGAGGGCTGGCCCTGGGTGTGCCCTCAGGGCACTGGTGGATCCCCCTGGGGAGTACTGGGAAAGCCTTCTGCCAAGCTCCAAGTACTTCCAAAAGGCCAGCTCCCCAAGACCACCGGGCACTCTGTGCACCTTAGCTCCTGAAGGAGGCTCACCCCCCATCTCTCAGAGGAGGAAACTGAGGGACAGAGAATGGATGTCTGGCCTCCCCAGCCGAAGGTCACAAACCTGGTACATGGTGCTTCTAGAATACAATCCCAGCCCTCCCACTCTCCAACCACCAACCCGAAGGAAAACTCTGACACATTCTCCATCCTCCCCCCATGAGGGAGAGAGGGCAGAGGCTGGCCTCATTTTACCGGTCAGCAAGTTCAAGGTCCTGGGTCAGGTCACACACCCAAGTTCACAAAATCAGCAGTGGAACAAATTTGAGTTTGGAACAAGCCTTTTTCCACTTGTCACCAGTTTAAGCAACAAGAGGAAAACGGATTTGGTCACCAGCTCAGAGGCAAGGTCTTCTGTTAGGGACACACCAGGTGTCAGCCCCAGCAGAAGCCCCTCCAGCCATGGACGTCGCTATCCTCAGCAGGGACAGCATGGATTTCCAATGTTTAGGGCCCAGGGGACGCTCCCCTACTGAAGGAGGCCCCCAGTTCTGCATGGATAGGTTCGGCATGGGCTCAGGCCACCAACCCAAAATAAAGTGGGGCCCATAAATTTCTTCTGACAGGTCCCACTGCTTCTCAGTCTTGTTTGATATTTCATCCTGCAACCAGAACACATCTTGGGATGACTTTCAACACAGTTGTTTGCAGCCAGCACGGCAATCTGGGCTAAGAGGACCCATACCAGGGAGGAGCGAGGGCACACAGGCCATTTCTCACATCCTAGGGATGAGGTTTCCAAGTTCATGGCCTCAGCTCTCAAGGGCAGGTCTTCCTACAAAATCATTCCAGCTCCAACCAAGGCAGAAAGTCACAAAATCCCTGAGCTGAAAGTACTCTTGTTCTGGGGTTGCCCAACTCACAAAGCCAATGGTGGTATGTATGTCAGAGGCAGAAGGGATAGTAAAGGTCATCCAGGCCAACATCCCTAACAAGGACTAGCTAATGCACACTTCCCCAGCGTTTTAAGCCTTCCAAGGTGCTCTCCCCAAAACCTATGAGATCAGTAATGCCAATATTACTCTCCCCATTTCAGAGATGAGGAGACTAAGGTAGAAAGCACACAACTAGTGGCTGACAGTACACACTTCTCACTAAGCAACAGGCTCTCTCCACTAGGAACCTAGGGTATTAAGCCTAGGAAAGATAAGAATGGGGGTGGGAAGACAGGGACACCTACACAAGTGTCTAACCCAGCTAAATATAAATCAAAAATAACCGGCAACATGGCACTCAGGAATGGGGGCAAAGCTGGGGCGAAACAGGGGGTCAGCTCTTCAGTCTGACCAGGGAACCCCAGGGTGCCTTGGAGTCATTTTCGGGTGCTAAGGCAGGCAGGCAGAGGACAGCCCCCTCCACGGGGGACAGATCTTCCACCACGGCCTCAGGAAGCTCTCTTCTCCTTTGTTCACTGCATCTCAGCTCTCCCTCTTTGGTCAGCTGGCAAAGCTGATACATCACCTAGGCCCTTGCTACATCAACATGGTAAGCTCCTCAAACTGCCAGTGTTGTTGGCCAGACAAGTGACCTGCGCATTAACACTGTGGACCCATCAGGTCCTGAGGCGCTTTCCCACCAAAGCCCTTCCAAGGACCTGCATTTTAAGAGGATGTTTAGCAGCCTGGGACAGCAAGCCTTGGGGTCAGAGCTCTCCTCCTGGGAAGGGACAGTTCCCATGCTTGTATGACAGAGGTAGGTCAGCTGCTTCCTTGCATAATTGAGGGAGGGGCCCGTGTGCTCTGCAGGAGAATGAAACTCTGGACATTCACAAGCCCTCCAGCCCAGGGCAGGCCATCTGGGGCCATAGCCCCAGCAACAGTGGTTACACCAGCCCTGCCTTTAACCTGCTGCTTTGGCTACCAAGTTCCATGCCAAGTGTCACTGTGCACCTGGTTCATTCTTCCGGAGCTTGGGGATTGCTCCTCCAGGCCGCTTGGTCCCTGGAAGATTTGGTCTCCTTTTCTAAGGCTGCTTCACTACCCTTCAAGTCATCTGCAAATGCTATCAGCACGTCATACAATGCGGCATCACAGCAACATGTACTTCCTCGTGGTCAGAGCTCCTGTTCAAAGTTCCCAGAGTCCCCTTGAGTTCGGCTGCTGCATTTCAGGGCCGTGGGGAAGCCGGGGCCAGGATCCCTCTGGACTCGTTAATTAATGGAGTCTTTGATCTTATTTATATAGGAGAAACTCCCCATCTTCAGAATTCTGAACCAGCACAGGACCTTCTGCCCTTGGCCGTCTCCCTGAAGAACCAGTATCAGACAGGCCTGTCCTGGCAAGTCTGCCAGGCAGCACAGGCCAATGTCCTCCAAATGGATGTCATCCTACTGCAGGGTTCTGGAGCTCAAAGCCACTGGGGAACCTCATCGTGAAAGCTGACAAGGACTCTAGACTATGGCACACAAAGCCCCATGCAGCTATCGTCTCATTGGAGCCTAACCGCCACCCAGGGAGGGGGTTCAACAGGCATTCCGAGCCCTATTTTATAAATGAAGACGCTGAAGGGTGGAAAAGTTGAGTGGACTGCCTACAGTCGCTAAGCACTTGAAGGCAGGACTGGAACCCAGGTCCACACTGCATCTCTCACGCGAGTCCCTCTCTTGTTTGGCCTCCCCAAGGACATCCTCCGTGACAACCCCAATGCCTTCCATATGACAACTCTCACTTGTTGATAAGGCCACCCAGAGAATCAGTGAACAGAGGTCCATACCACTTGTTATGCATGGCGCCTCGTCTGACTGCATGATGGACGCCGGACACATCTCATGGTGTTGATTCACGTTTGATTTTCTTTTTCTGCAGCCACAAACAATAAACCCAATGGGATCTTCCACTCTGTCCTGTGACTGCAATGGTCCTCAAGAATGGAAGCCCACCTGGGCCCTTCTCATTGTCTGTCCTGAGGTCCTGCGCGCTCCCAAAGGCCATTTACTGAGACGGAAGAAAGAAGCTGTTGCTATCAGCCTCTTTTTTTCTTGTTTTGGTACAAGATTTCAATTCTTCTGGATTTCCACTCTTGAAGGTCCTTTGGGTGTTGCCTGGAGCCCAGCCTCTTGTTCAGCCTGTCTCCCGGCCAGGCGGGAGTAGTCTTCCTGCCCTCAGAGCCCCGGGGGTGGAAGAGCCCCAACGTGGCGGCTTCCCTGTGGTTGCTGATACATCAGTCACTGTGGAAACAGGCTGAGCTGTCCCGCTTTGGTGGTCCTTCTTCCAGTTTGACAAATATCTGTGGCTTTCACTAGGTCTTGGGCCAGACCCTCAACCTGTTAATTTTCCCTCTTACTGTTTTTATAAGACAACAGAACTTGGAAACTTGCATTTTTCCTCATCCATCATGTCTTGAAAATAAGCATGTCCTCCTGACCAATGCTGTTCTTGGCTGCCACGTCTGCACTTGGCAAGGAGGTCGAGGATTTGAAGGCTAAAAAAGGTTCTGGGCTTTCATCCTCACCACAGGGCCCAAGGCAGCCTACCTTCATTTCCCTCCAAGACTGGCTTCTGACTTAGCAGACTTCAGCACCAGGCCTGGGCTGGAGTCTTACCCTAGGGCCTCCTTCCAGGACCAGCCTCACTTTGCAGAGGCCCAGAAAGAAGGCTGGGGGGAAGGGGCAGAACAACACGTAAGCACAGGACACCTTGACCAGCAGCACCATCATTCCAACAGACTTCCCCAGGGCAGATACTCACACGACAGTACGGGAGTTGGGAGGTTTCTGCCCCACGTAGCTATACGGTACAGTCAGGCCACACACCTGGCATTCGAACATGCCTCTGAGCTCCTGCTCACTGGAAGATGCCATCTACAAAGTCAAGAAATGTATGTTGTGAGTCCAGAACACTTTTGTTGTTACTGCTGCTGAGCTGTGTCTGACTCTTCATGACCCTGCTTGGGGCTCTCTGAGCAGAGACACTGGAGTGGTTTGCCATTTCCTCCTCATTTTACAGATGAGGAAACTGAGGCAAACAAGGGGAGGTGTTTTACCCCGGGTCACACAGCTAGGAGGTGTCTGAGGCCAGATTTGAACTCAAGTCTTCATGACTCAGGGGCAGCTAGGTGACGCAGTGCACAGAGCACATGGCCTGGGAAGACTCATCTTCCTGAGTTTAAATACAGCCTCAGCAACCTACTACCAGTGTGACCCTGAGCAAGTCATTTAAACCTGCCTGGAGAAGGAAATGGCACACTGCTCCAGTATCGCTGCCAAGACAATCCCAAATGGGATCACAAAGAGTCAGACAGGACTGAAATCCCTGCCTAGCCGAAGAGCATCTAGGGGGTCTGATATGGAGGATGAGCAAGAGAAGGAAACTGAAAAGGAGGAAGAAGCAGGAGAAAACAGGGTCATGGACGTCCCCAAAGACGAGAGAGTATCTGGGAGGAGAGGTAGTCCACAGCCCCGAATACAGCCCAGGGGTCCAGAAGGGCTGGCTCGGAGAAAAGATCACGGAACTGACCAAGGAAGAGGTCACTTAAGAGAGAAAACAGGTGACTTCGGTTACACCACACGGAAGAACTTCTGTGTAGACAACATAAATACACCAGGATAAGTTGTATGACCCTGGGCAAGTCACTTAACCCCGCTACCTCCTTCCAAAAAGAGGCGAGATACACACACACACCCCCATGAAAGTGCTGGGCCTGAACTGGGGGGGGGGGGGGCAGGGGCGGTCTGGCTAGAAGGGCCCTTCTGGGCAGTCAGTGATTATCCCCAGCGGTCGCCCCCAGGGTCGCTCCCGGGGTCCAGCCCCTCTCTCTTACATGCAGGAGCAGTCCCGGGGTAATGGGCACTGGCAGGAAAGGCGGCACCGGATTAAGGAAGACTTGGGTTCAAATTCCCTACCCACCCTCCATCACCCGCCCCCAGGCCTTGGCACAACGTTCACAGCAGGAGGGAGGTGTGGAGAGGAAGACAGCACAAGGATACAATGTATTCTAAGCCGGGCCCTAGGGAGCCACGGAAGGTCTCTAAACGAGGGGGGAAGAGAGAGGGATGGTGTCAGTTTCCACCCCGGGACACTTGCACCGGTCGGGCTGAGCTCACTAAGCAGCCCTGAAACAGGAAAGGATGTGCTTAGCGCATGCGCGTGCGCAAGCGGAGCGGGCCCCTACCCCACCCCACCCCCCTCCCGTAGCCTCCTTCCCCCCAAGTGTGCTTAAGCTTACCTCGCCGCTCGGGGCTCCTGGCTTCAGGCCGTCCAGACTGGATGCCTGAGGTCCTTTGGGACCGAGCGTGACAGCCTGACCCAGAAGACGGTAGTCCTACTGCCGCCCTAGGCCTCGCCCCGCCCCCAGCGTCCTCTCACACGCACGCAGGCCCCGCCCCCTCAACGCCTGTGTTCTATTCTGACTGTCCCTTTCCAGCCTGTGTCCTTCATTTATTCATTCATTCAAGCCCTTTAATAAATGCGCCAGTTCAGGAGGACCTGAGTTCAGATTCAGCCTCATATACTTGACACTTACTAGCTGTGTGACCCTGGGCAAGTCGCTTGACCCCGATTGCCTCACCAAAAAGCAAAAAAAAGAAAGAAATGAGCCAGTGACTGGAGTCAACTACAGAAGAATCCTCAGCTTGGCATTCCCACCCCCACCTCTAGTCTCTTACAGGGGACACCTCCCCCACACACACACATTCTTCCCCACCTCCTCCAGCTCCTGTGTCCATTTCCCGCCTCCGCGCCTTTGCACCGGGCTCGTTGACAGCCTGCTGCGGAGCTGCGGTGCACCCCAGGAAGAGGGGAGGGCCACTTCCAGCAGCAGCACATGGCCACGGTCCTCAGCCCGAGAGGAGACACACCGAGCGTGGGAGCAGCTGCAGCAGCGGGGTCCCAGATTTGGGAGCTGCCTGGGGGTAAGCCCAGGTCCAGATTCCAAAGGTCTGGCCTGGACACGGGCTTTCCTCCTTGGAGAGCCAGGCCAGGGAGTCCGGCAGGAAGAGAAGAGGGTGCACCCAACCGAGCTCATGAGAATGGGGCAAGGTGGCTGAAGCCCGAAGCAACTGGGATGCTTAACCCAGGAGGGATGTCGGTCCAGGCGTCCCAAAAGTCCGCCTGCAGCCGCGGGATCAGGAAACCTGCGGCTGCCCTGGGACTCCCCAGCTCGAGGGTGCCTCTGCTCCCGGTGCCCCTCTCTTATGTGACCGCCTCATGCCCATGGGTGGTGCTGCTGACCACCGCCATCTCCTCTGCACCAGACTCTCCAGTCTGCATTTCCAGGCCAGTCTTGGGAGGTCCCGGCCAGCTGCAGAGAACTCGTCTCCAACTGTATATTCTCACAGCAGTTTGTGTCATCGTGGTTTTTATCAGTATTACTCTTAATGGTAGCAGTAACTGACTTAAAATGGTAACCCCATGCTGGCAGACACAGGAAATTAGACTACTGCCGTGAGTAGAAGAGTGATGGAATTGGTGAGGGGAGGAGGAGTGACCTGGCCTCTCTTCTCCTCCCAGCCCCGGCCTTTGGTTTGTAGCAGATAACTCTAGGCCAGTGGAGAAAATGCAGAGCGCAGGGATGGCAGACCTTGATCGGGCAAGTGTTGGCACCAGACTTATGGCTCCTAAGAGCATCTAGGCTGGAGATGCAGATTAGAAAGTCATCTGCAGAGGTGGCGGTCATTGATACCATTGAAGTGAGTGGGATTGTCAAGGAAAAGAGGGTTGGAGAGAGGCCGAAGACAGGCAGGCTCTTGGGAGTCACCCGCATTAAGGGGCTGGATAGCAGGTGCGGAGCCAGAGAGGAAACCCAATGGAGATCAGAGAGGCGAGAGAACCAGGAAAGTGGAGAACACACCAGATGGGGGCCTTGTGAGCAACAATTAGAAAACACGCCATCTCAGGGTTACCTCTGGAACCCCCAAGGGTGGGAAGAACTCTCAGCTGCCCCAGGGGACCTACCCTGCACAAGACCCCCTTTCCTGCTCTAGCATGTGTAGAATGTTAGCTCTTGGAGAGGCAGAGCCATAGATCTGAAAAAATGGCAAAAGACAGTCCTTGTCCTTAAGGAGCTTGCATTCTAAGGTGGGGGTGGGGTGGAAGAACCCACACAGGGAGATCCAAAGACAAAACACAATATGGACCTCGCCCCCCTGAGCTCCCAGTCTCCTGGGGTTGTGACAGGTGCATTGATTTAAGTGCTTAATAAACAAAGGCTTGTTGATGTGACTCACAGACTCTAGCATCTGGCCCAGTGCCTTGGACCCAGGTGCGAAACAAAGGTTTGGGAGTCTAGAGACACCAACCCTCAGTTTGCACAGTGACCACAAGGAAAGGAAGACTTCCTAGAACTGGCCACAGACCCTAACGTGGATGCAAACAGGCTGACCCCAGCTGCACGTGAAATCTCATCCATCAGGACTGTCAGAGGAGGCTCTGAAGGGACTATCAGATCTCAGAGACTAAATCCTCAGTCAAGGATAGCATCTCCTAAGAATACAGAACCGGGGATGAACTCCGAGTCCAGGCAGTAATGGTGGGATGATCTGGCGGCCAGGACAGCCGTGAGCTGCAGAGCTGCACATTTCCGCCTCAAGGGAGCCACAGCTGATGAAGTTTCCCAACAGCTGCTGGGTTTGTTTTTCCACAAGCGGTAAACAAATAATGATGTGTCTGTCCCCTGTAGGGGAAAGGGAGGCATGGAGCTGAATCAGAGGGAAAGGAAGGCCCAAGGTCACACAGCTATGTGACCGGGAGCAAGCTGCTCTGACCTCCTGGGCCTCAGTTTCTACCACTGTCGAATGGGAATAACTACCTTGCCCTGCTTCACTCACAGTGCAGTTGTGATGATTATGAAATGAAACAATGGGCCTCCTTGTGTCCACGCCCCACTGGATTCCAGCTCCATAGCAGCGTGGTCTGTCATCATTCATCTTGGTGTTCCATTAGCCTAGGACTAAGAGGGGGCAGCTTCATTGACATCTTGGGGTCCAGAACCAAACTGGGGTTTTGGCCATAGGACACTTTGCCAAATTCCAAGAACATGAACTCAAAAAATAATTCAAATACTAACTTAAGCAAAGTTATAGAATATGGGGCACCTAGGTGGCACAGTGGATACAGCACTGGCCCTGGATTTAGGAGGATTTGAGTTCAAATCCAGCCTCAGACACATGACACTCACTGGCTATGTGACTCTAGGCAAGGCACTTAACCCCAACTGCCTCACAAAAAACCAAACAAACAGACTTCCGGGAGCCAAGATGGCAGAGTGAAAAGGTAGTCACTCTTCTCCCCCCTATCAACCTCTGAAAACCCAGAAAATATCACCCCAGAAAAAAAAACCCTGGAACACCTGAACTAGAAGAAAGACAAGGAGCAGCAGTGCAGTAACCCAGCAAACGGGTCTCCCAGTGCCTCAGCAAAAACAAGGGGCCCCAGGCAGATAAGTATCCTGCGGCATTCATCTGAAAGAAGGTAAAGAAAACAACCTAAAGGCTTCCTAAAGCCCGGCCTTGCTGATTCCAACCCAACACCAGGTGAGCTGTAGGAGCCCTGAACCCCCAATTGTGAAGAATCCTGAAGCCCAGGTGGTAGAGCAGGCAAACACCAACACCTGGACTCCAGTGCCTCAGTGAGGGCAGGGGGAACCGGTGGAAACCAGCTCAGAAAACCACCAGGAGTCTCATCCACCACAAAGGAATCTCCCAGTGCATTAGCAGAAACGAGGGAGACAACACTGCAGGGGGCCCCAGGCAGATAAACATCCTGCAGCAGCCATCTAAAAGGAGCTGAAGAAAGCTAAAGGAAAGGAAAAGCAGGCAACCTAGAATTGCCTGAAAGTTCCAGCCTTGCTGATTCCAGCCCAACACAAGGTAAGCTGCCAGAAACCTACAGCCTCCAATTCCCAGCATAAGAGGCCCCAGAACGCAAAGCCAGTGACCAAGACCTAGGCTCCCAACACAAGAAGCTTGGGTCAGTACCCTCTGTTCCCCAGCAGGAGAGCTCAATCTCTTTAAAGGCCAGGGAATAAAGAAACACCATGAGTAAAAAGAAACGTACCATAGATTCATATTATGAGAAGAGTGAAGATCAAGACAGAAATTCTGAAGAGGACAACATTGTCAACAAACCCACATCTGCAACAACAAAAGGGAATATGAACTGGTCTGAAGCCCAAAAAGCCTTCTTAGAAGAGCTCAAGAAGGATTTTAATAGTCAAATGAGAGAGGTAAAAGAGTCCTTCAAAAATACAATTGGCCAGTTGGAAAAAAAATACACTGAAGAAAACAAGTCCCTAAAAAACACAATTGGCCAATTGAAGAAGGAAGGACAAAAACTAACAGAAGAGTACACTGAAGAAAACAAGTCCCTAAAAAACACAATTGGCCAGTTGAAGAAGGAAGTACAAAACTAACAGAAGAGTATGCTGAAGGAAACAAGTCCCTAAAAAACACAATTGGCCAGTTGAAGAAGGAAGTACAAAAACTAACAGAAGAAAACAATCTGTTAAAAACTAGAATTGGACAAATGGAAACTAATGTCTCTATGAGAGAGCAAGAATCAGTCAAACAGAAACAAAAAAATGAAAAAATAATGAAAATGTAAAATACCTCATCAGTAAAACAACCGACCTGGAAAATCGACTCAGGAGAGACAATTTAAAAATTATTGGACTACCTGAAAATCATGATGAAAAAAAGAGCCTGGACAGTATCTTTCAGGAAATCATAAAGGAAAACTGCCCAGAAGTCCTAGAACCAGAAGGGAAAATAACCATAGAAAGAATCCACCATCACCACCTGAAAGAGATCCCAAATTGACAACGCCAAGAAATATAATAGCAAAATTCCAAAATTACCAGATGAAAGAGAAGGTGCTGCAAGCAGCCAGAAAGAAAGAATTTAAATATCATGGAACCACAGTCAGGATTACACAGGACCTTGCAGCTTCTACATTAAAAGACCGCAGGGCATGGAACATGATATTCCATAAGGCAAAGGAGCTTGGAATGCAGCCAAGGATCAATTACCCAGCAAAAATGAGCATCATTTTTCAAGGGAGGAGGTGGATATTCAATGAAATAGGAGACTTCCAAACTTTCCTGATAAAAAGACCAGAGCTCAACAAAAAATTTGATCTTCAAGTACAGGACTCAAGAAGGACTTAAAAAGGTAAATGGGACAGAAGGATACAATATGTTGTTAATAAGGGGGGGGTGTTTAAACCCCTACAAGGGAATATGAGACTTGCAACCCTTGAGAACTGTATTGTTATTACACCTTGTTAAAGGAGTATACATAAAGAGGGTGGATATTAGTTGACTTTGATGTAATGATAAAAAAAATCTAATCAAGTG